AGAAGTGGAGGAGTGGATTTCTCTTGGAGTCTGGGGTTCGTGGACCTCAGAATTCAGAGAGAGGGCATTCCACCTCGAAAAGTCTTGAGACTACTTTCGGCAAAGTCGGACACTAAATTTACCACTACGGCCCTTCCGTAAAATAGTATAAGTACAGTTCAAATCAATAGTATTAATAAATTCAGTTGTATGCAGAAAGCTGGAAGGGATTAAAGGACTACTAAGTGCAACCGTCGAAAGGTGGGTGATTGTAGTGAAGTGTTCTTCCTGCCCTGTCCGAGCCAGACCCTTATAAGACCCTGGGATAGGAACCCAGCTCTACTGATTAAAGTAAAGAACCCAAAGAAGTGAGCGGTGGTGGAGTGGCGCACAACGAAAAGGGCACAAAGGAAGTGAGCGGTTACAATAGCCTGTACTATTATAGGAACTCCAAATCTGAACCTGGCAGCTGATACATTCCCATCAAAAGCAGCATCCCCATCCATGTTTGAAGTTCATCAATATTTATATCACTCCAGTTTCTGGTGGTTGCATTTAAAATACAACCCCTTTCTTGTGCCACCTTAACTGAGTGGCATACACATTTATTTTGATAATGTGTTGTTAACCACCTTTAGTAAATATTTATAAGACTTGCTATAGCCCCTTTCCTTCTCATGAAATCACACCACATTTATCAGTCACAGGTCTCTACCCATACTGACACCCAACATTTCAAAATTTCTAATGTCACCTGACCACACTTCTTCCATATCTTCAGCACTGTCATCACTGTTGTCATCCTCATCACTTGTATCACTTTCCAAATATAAATTTGTAGTTACATTGGTGCTTGGTACCTGGGTTGACTTCCTTCTGTTGGACCCTCGGATATGTCCTTCATATGTTCACCATTACTTTCGTTTTGTTGTTGCTGCTGCTCAGTTTCTGAGTTGTCAGAATCAGAAGAAGTGAAAATATAACAAGAAAAACTTCTTCATCCGATATTTGCTTTGGTCCATACAGACCTAAAAGGGGGGGGGGGAATATATATATATAAAATCACAAAAATAAGACTAAAAATATTCAAATGTTTGTATTATGGCACCAGAATGATGTTCCACTGTATGTATGTATGTATGTACAAACATGACATATACAAGTATTATAATTTCAGCAGATTATGTGTAAAAATTATACAATATACCCAACTGCAGGTACAACTAATTCCAGCACTATTTGGAGGTTATGTTGAACTATACTACAATTTCTTCACGTAGAATGATATTTAATTATATTTCATATTACTGAAACACAACTTTTCTGGTACGTTTAGAGTAAAACACGGTTATGAGAATATTTATTATATATGTATAATGCATACTTAACCAAACACAAATCTTCATTGTGCACAGAGCCAACAACTTCTCTTCTCCATTACTAACTTATCTACTGTAGCCGGTCGCATTTTGTTGTTTTTAAAATCTTCCGCTAGGTGGAAGAACGTTCAAAACGTGGGAAATAATATACAGACGCGGTAAATTCGAAGAGTTTCTGGAAAAACCCTCTTCCCATAATTTTTTCTTCTCATGTCGTCCAGACCGGTTCTGGGGTCCACCCAACCCCCTATTCAATGGATACCGGGAGCTATTTTCATGGAGGTAAAGAGGCAGGGGCGTGAAGCTGACCACTCAACTCCAACGAGTGCCGAGGTCAAGAAAATGTGAATCTATAATCCACTCCCCCATATGCCTTCATGGCGTAATGCTCAATTAGTTAAGCACAGGGACAACTTTACATTTTTTACCTTTTACTTATTCCCATAGCCTCCAAGAGGATTAAATGAATCATAAGTCCATATATGTAAAGTTTTGTCTGATATGCTTCCTACTTGGTATGGTTTGAAGAAAGGAGATGCTTTACCCAAATCGCTTTTCAACTTTGATTTAGAGCACCGTTTGGAAACTGAAAAAAACTTCGGTGGAATGAAAGTCAGTGGAATACAACACCTTATGATCTATGGTTGTGTTGTTAATTTGAGGAAAACATAAATACTAAAAAAAGCTCTATTAGATACCAGTTAGGAGGTTAGTGTAGAAGTAAATGCAAAGAAAACCACGTACATGTTCTCATCACCAGAATGTAGGACAGAATAATAACATAAAGACAACTAACAGGTCATTAAAAAATGTGACAAAGTTCAAATACTTGGTAACAACACTAACAAATCAAAATTACATTCATGAAGAAGTTAAGAACAGAGAGATTTTACTTGTAACAGTTACCTCTGCAGGAGGAGTGAATAATATCCAGCAGCCGATTATAATGCATCACCCCCTGCACTACAACATTGTTCAGTAACTGTTCAGTAATTCTTCATACATTACTGGGTATCTAAAACAAGGAACACACAGAACAAATTTTTCTACAGATATTATGGCGAATATGAATGGGCTGAGACAAAGGTAGTAGGACAATGAGAGACATGAACTGGTGGAATCAAAATATTCAGAGAAAATTCTGTCTCTATACCTTTGTGTCCACCAGAGATAACACAAGAATTGGCCTGGGAATTGCCGTGGTGATGCATGAGTCATATTCATATTCTTGTATGTGGCGGTTATAAATAATTTAAATACTTAAAGCTGTCTAGAGATAATGATTTATGCCAAGAACCACATGAAACACTTAAATGCACAATATGGGCAAAATGCAGAGTCATTTAATGTTGAAGTATCTAGTCACCCTCTAACCACTATGCTTTCAAGACTTAAGTCTAAGGGATTTTAAGGTCTTTCATTCTGGTCCGTCACACTAACAAATTAACAATCAAGTTCCTTCCGTCAAATGTGACACTTTTATAAGTTTTCCACCTCGTCACCACCTAAGGGATTCCTTACTGAGCTCACAAGAGACTGAGGTCTCTGTATAATCTGCTTCTTAGAACGAAGTTTTGTTACCACCTCACCCAACCCCTAAATTGGAGGATCACCACTTGTCACTGGCTGTTCCATCTTTGCTTATTCAACATATTCACAGCTACACTCCAAATCTGGAGGCCGTCTTATCAATCAAAACCTAAGAGTACAGTATGATGTTAACACAAGGGACCCATTTCAAAGTTTAACTAGATCAGTGATATGTTGTGACAAGTTACAAACACTAATAACAGTATGAGAAATGAGCAATATTGCTGATCTTATCCAGTGCTTTATTTTATAAAAACACATCTACCAGTTATCTTACGTTTGGATTTGTTCTCAAGTTCGAAACACTCAATGCACTGGCAGAAGTGCAAGTTCTGACTTCTAGCAAGTTAGCTGACATGCATCAAGTGTTTGTTGGTATGCTGGTCTGCTGGCCTATACCACCAGAAAGTGGACATTGATCTTATATGTATTAGATATTCCACCTGACTGTAAGTTTATTCCAATGAAATACATAATTTTCAAAACACCTTCAATCTTAGGGGGCACGCGGTAGCGTAGTTGGTTGAGGCACTATGCTATAAGTTGGAAGGTCATGGGATCAGATCCCGATGAGGTCATTCAATTTTTTCAATTTACCTAATCTATCCAGCCACACTATGGCCCTGGGGTTGACTCAGCCTCTAACAGAAATGAGTACCAGGAATATTCTTGGAATATTCTTGCAGGTAACAGGTGGCTGGCACTGGGAACCTCAACATCTCACAACCCTATGGGCCTCCAACGCCTATTACAGGGATACCTTTACTTCTACTTTTTACCTTCAATCTTATAGTGGTTCTACAGCATGAACATGATGCAACAGTAGTTCCAGTTGTCTGTGACTCATCCACCATTGTTGAGCTGACCAGCTGTGTACAATGAGACCTACAGAAGAGAGGGTAGGATATAATGTAAGACGGTTCAGGAATTATTTTAAATTCATGCATACGTTATAAAGATTTTGAGTAAAAAAGTCCTTGTTTGCATGGATTGTTATTGTTCAGATTTCTGGAAAAATAGCACAGTAACCTATGTATGACCTCAGAATGTTACCTGGTTCGTAAGTACATTTCTCTATGCTCACAGAACTTTCAATGTGTACTTTCAAGTAGGACTTATTGAAGTCATATCGACATGTGTGTTTTATTTCTGATAACTTTTGAAGAAATCAGTCAGTTTTCATGACAGCATGAACACCATGCCACTAGAGGCCATCTCATTTTCAAACTTCATTAATTCACTGCTGCCAAATTTACTAACTAGGGACATTCAATATGAACTTCTAAAACTGGATAAGTGAAAGAGAGCTGTAAAACATGCATGAAACTTCTGTTAAAATTTATTCCTGCTCAGAATGTAAATTAATTGACTAGTTTCTCAGACCTGAGGTCTTTTTTGTTTGATGTTGACAAAAGAGATAAACCATGAAACTGGCCATTACTTGGTTCTATGCCATGGAATATTAACGATATTCTGTTTATCCACTGACAAATGGAGAATATGTGGTCAATCCTGTATTCTGTGCTATATCCATTACATTATTATTTTATATGACAACAAAGTAAAGGTTGTCTCTGTGCTTAATTAAGCACCTCACTATGAAGGAAATACATTGCAGTGGAGATACAGCTGATCTCAGTGCTAGATATGGATGTCATTGGAGGGGGAGGGCAGGCTTCACACTCACAACATATGCCTGTCTATCAGTGGTAGACCATTCGCGTTAACCATGTTACATAGGCTAATATTTGGGAAATAAAAACAAGCAACCTAAGGTTTGCGGTTCATTGGAAATTCCTCATGCTGGCAGGTGAAGCAATCAGATATTTTTTTTGTCTGCTGCCTCTAGTCAGCCAATCCCAGGCGCAGTTATCAAGGGCTTTCTGGCTTACACTACCCATCTGTGGGTACAGGCAAAATTAGAAGAGAGAAGGAGAGAGTGCATGATATTCCAAGCTATGTTAGCCAAACAAGGAATGTTAACACACTTCAGTTGCTTACATTCTCGCAGGGCACAGAGCATTGCATTGCTAACACTTCTGTAAAACTGACGTTCCCGCACTGCTACCTACATCTGCTCTAACATTGTACACAACAGACTTATGACTTAGACGTGTATGTCCCTGGGGCAGGAGGTCCAGTAAATACTACAAAGTTCCAGCTCTTAGAAACATGACAGGTGTTTTGGTTAAGCGAAATGTGAAGTGGAGTTATCGAATGTAAGCTGACCCATATTGCATGAAGGAAAAAGCTTGATATATCATTCTTACCAGGTTGAAAAGGTGGATTTTCCACATACTCGTATAACCTGAGCTTCTGTGACAATCTGTAAGGCAGAGCAGAAATTGACCTGGGTTCAGCAGAAATGCTCTCCATAGCCCCTAGTAACTGAGTTTCTTCTGGCCAGGCTGTTTTACCTGGAAGATGAAACATAAATCATAACATCAAGTACTTACACTGGAATAGAACAAGAAATTCTGAGAAGAATTATGATGCCTGCCTTCCTTTCTTGAAATAAAATCTACTTCAAACTTTAGCCATCTTTACCATGAGAGGTGCCTTCTCAGTAATACGCAACAGCAGCAGTAGCAACATCTTCAAGAGCTGGAATTGGAAGGAATGCCTTTTATTGTCACGCGCAGGAGTTGTGCGTCACTTAGAAGATGGGCTTTTGTTTGGATGATTAGATTTATTGACACCTCATTCATTCAACTCTGGACTACACATAATTAAAGTGCTATCACTGACATACACACTTCACAGTTCACCACTACACACGCACTAGGGTCCTCAGTCTTCACTAGTCGAATCCTGGCAACGGATTTGCGACAGTCTCCCTGCCACTTCATTCACACATGAAGTCTTATTTTCAGAGCCAGTTCTTTGCCACAGTTGACACAATTCAATTTTTCTGCTCCCAAGCTCATATCTCGGCAAATTGGCGTCTCGAAACTCGACTCAACTGCTTCTCTTTATAACCACTTTGCAGGAACCACGCAGAAAACACCATCTCTATTGTTGTAAAGGCGTATTTACAGCGCGGTTGTATAGCAACGGAAGTTATTCGATTTTTGATTGCATATTCGTTGACGCGGGAATGTTTATACCGAGTCGTTGTCTAGCAATGATAGTCTATTCTGATTTCGCTATTCCGACTTTCGGGCGTCATATCACAATATATATAATGCCACAAGACGGATATATCTTCTAAACACAGTAACAGTTGGCAGAGTTCCAAATTCAAAAATATGAAAAGCCAGCAGGAAATAAAACTGACATCAATAAGGAAGGTGCTGCTGCTAATGATGATGATGATGACGATAGCAATAATATCAAAAGGAACTAAATGTACCACAGACCTTCTTGACAAACTGATAGCCTTCCAGTTAGCCAAACTATTCTCCGATACTATGCAACTAAAGAGAAATCTCATTACTCCCTTAGTAAGAGCTCGGAATTTTAACCTTTTCCGAGCGAACCGAATTCAGTTCATATTATATTCAGGCCAGTTTTAATTTTACTGTCCAATGTGCTCTTATCTTTCATAATATCCTCATCGCGCTAACCCTCACACTTGCTGTATAACCGCCCATCTCAAGTAGTTACTATAGGATTCTGACGATGGTGTATAACACACTGATATGTTGGGATTTTGGACTTTATCCATCGTCCTGGTTTTTAAGATAACAAATAAAAACACGACGTTTCGGAAACTGGATCTGTTTCCGTCCTCAGGTGAAGGAAAACACCTATTCAGTTGGGTCCCTTAGAAAGAGCTAGCCTCAACTGAGGACGGAAACAGATCCAGTTTCCTAAACGTCGTGTTTTTATTTGTTATCTTAAAAACCAGGACGATGGATAAAGTCCAAAATCCCAACATATCAGTGCGCCCATCTCACTTTCCTTGATGATACCGGTAATTCAATATTCAGATTTGAAGCAAAGGCGGAAATGGTTCTGCAGAACTGGTTAGACACTCCAGATTTGTGGAAACGTCGGGTGAACGACCAACACATATTAAAGGAAATTGTTACAATGTAGGCTCGTGAATTTGTTTCTATATATATATATGACAATTACGACGCCTTAGAGCGTTGGAAACGACTAATGATGCGATCTGGAACTAAGTAGACGGCGTCTATTCGCGTCTACCCCCATTTCCTGGCCTGCACAAGACTTCGTAGAGTAGCTAATTGAGCATAACAAATTTTGAGGAAAACACTACAGTCTGAAACTTGACACCCAAGTGGTGGGGTATAACTCTAGACCTAATGGAAACACAAGAAAGAAAGGCTAAATAAAATCAGTAGTAATAATAATAACAGCAACGACAATAATAATAAAGTAGCGACGGCAAAAATCTTCCACCATCTTTTTGTTTTCGGTACCGGAGTAGAAGTCCACAGATAATTTACAGAAAGCAGCCGTAATCAGAACAGCTCATATTTTAATAAAAATACTACAGACTGTAATTTTAAACCGTAGAGACCATAAAGGTTGAAATAAAATGCACAAGGAAAAAATGAGACCTTACTTTAATAACTGCCTTCAAGGACGTGGTTTTCAAGACTCTAGTAACCCGAGTTCGCCTGTTATGCTCTGTGTAGATTACCATCATGCGTGAAGGTTAGAGAAGTTGCCGCATAAACCCGGCGAACCGCTCATACGAAATAAACTGGCCTAATTCCCTTGATCAGGCGGGTTGAAATATTTTAATTACATTCGGGTTACAACAGTTTAGTCCTACCGCCCTGAATGGTAACGTGACACAGATAATTTTACTGATTAAGTATGGCTCGAAACTAAACCACTACATTTTCATAAATCATATTGACCAATTGTAACGAAAAGGAACTAATTGCATATTATTTTTTCCCCTGTAATTTAATCTAAACGTATAAATGTGTAATTCATAATTACGTTATATAGGATTCATCTCTTTATTGTATAATTGGGTGATTTATAAGTATATTAATGCAGAGTTTAAAATTGTTTACCTATAATATTCTATTACATATCATTTTCTTTGGAAAATTACATCTGTGATTTCTTTCAGAAAGATGAAAACTTGAAACATCTCACAAAGGTTAGGTTTGCAGGGTGGCAAGCGTGAAGTTTTTGATTAACACAACGCCAAATATAACTCAGTAACTGGTCATAAAGCTTTCATGTCATGCACAAATTTGTAGGAAACGAGTCCCGTCACAACAGTCCGACTATCTTACTTCTTGTCTTGTGTTAGGTTTTGCTTTTTCTCCTTTAGAATTGTGGGTCATGACGGTCACAGTAGCCGCGCGGTCTAAGGCATGAACTGTCTTCGCTTGCTCAGACGCTGGATTCGTGGGTTCGAATCCTACTTGAGGCATGGGGAGGCCGCGTCATAGCTCAAGCGGTTAGTCGCTGGCTTCCCATCGCGGCGGCCCGGGTTCGATCCCGGGGTCTAGTCAAGTAGGATTTGTAGTGGACAAAGTGGCGCTGTTGCAGGTTTTCTCCGAGTACTTCGGTTTCCCCTGACAATCATCATTCCACCAATTGCTCCACAATCACCCTCACCTATCATCTGGGGCTGGTACAATAGGCCAGAAGTGGGCGCAATACAAGGGACTTAGTTCCACCCCACTAGCAATAACAAAAAGTAAGGCATGGATGTTTGGTTTGTGTATGCGTTTATTCTGTGTTTATGTTGTTCTGTGTTTAGGTAGCGGCCGGCATGGCTACGGGCTGATCACTCGTCCAAGGAGTCCTACCTTCTGTGAAAAATGATAACGGAAGTGAATAAAGGGCCAGGGCCCTGAATAGGCTGGAAGAGCCATTAAAAAATTAATTTTGGGTCATACCAGACCTTCAAGCTCAGACTAAAATTTAGCACATTAAAAGTCACTACAATCACATCTATTTTTCTTTGATGAAGAAATGAAAGGTGTACGTTCTATTGTAGAGGCGAGGGGTGTTTTCAGAGAGTACAACCTGATGAAATCTTCACAACGTAACTCAGGAGTAGAGTTGTAAGTTATGGCGAGGACTATAGTTAAATATCTGTTACTAGATTTACTAAATTTTAAAGAAGTTTTTTAAACCAAACTTTATAATAATCTAATTATAATAATTTATAAAAATTTTAATAAAATCAGACACATCGCTGTAGTTGTTAAAGGCCAATATTATATATTCATGATATTGTAATGATATTATATGTATACATTGATATGGACCAACCACATTGTAATAGTTTCCGTATGTACTGATATGTCGCTCCGACCGAAACATGTCAAAGATGAAATATTAAAAAGGAGACAAAAACATTTATCAGTCACACTGGACGGAGTTGATAAACTTCTATACTACTGCTTGTGTGACGGACCAGGATGAACCAAGTCAAATCTTTTACTAATATTAAGCACTTTGAAGTGTGGATCAGGAAACTGTTAAAAACTAACTCAATCAAACACACCCAACCTCATTAACTCGAAAATAGTTTTCAAAGGACAGCGGAATTTATGTCAAGATACAACAATTTACAGAATGACAATATTCTTGTAATATACATAAGCATCATCACTACAAAATGTCTACAAAATTTGTGAATGAACAATTTTCGTATGAAGTTCTATTGTTCTGATAGATTGAAAACGGGACTCTAATCTTGCTATGTTTTAATTCGAGTCTAACTTTAAGTGACTGATCTGTGGAGACTATGTTACAAATTGTGGAAATGTGTGAGATTTGAGGTTCCCTATGAATATTACTGTCTTCGGGATGTAACGCAGTGTATTCAGTATGACTGGTTAACGATCTACCAGACCACAGGGCTTCGCATCCCAGAGGATAGTAAATTTCGCTGGAAAAATCACTCCAGGAATTAATTTGACAAATTCACTATCTTTAGCTTATTAGCAGCAACAATCATGGAACCTATAGCGACATTAACACCTGCGAAAAGCGGAAAGACAGTATGTGTCCAGTTAGTTAAGCAGACAAGCAGCTCCATTCGGTTGTAACGGACTGATAATACTTTAGGTTTCAAAGAAATCTCGTATGAGGATTAGGACTGGATTCAACTGGCTCAGGATAGGTGACAGTGATGAGCTCTTATGAATATGGTAACGAATTTCCAGCTCCGTTAAAGGCGAATAATTTCTTAACCATCTGATTATTATCCTTTTAAGGAAAACTCTGCTTAGTGATAAGAGAGACTTCTTAGTAGGGGCATTTCTAATGTGCGATAAAGCTATCAATAAGGGAGCATTGCACTGGATGATTCTAGCCTGCTAAGCATTTAATTTTGTGACGAGTTTTGGCCTGTCACAGTGGCCGCGCGGTCTAAGACATGAACTGTCTTCACTCGCTCGGACATTATGATCGTGGGTTCGAATCCAACTCAAGGCATGGATGTCTGTTTGCATTGTTCGGTGTGTAT